ACTTTTAACTCATTTGGAAAGGGTCTTATAGTGAGAAATCTGTTCAGTTTATGATGATCCCATGGTAGTCCAAATATTATAACACCCAAATCAATGAAGAAAATGTATGAAGAATTCAAATAAGTATATGAGAAGGTAGAAAAGTGACAGATTCTGGGTGTGTGGAATGCAAGGTAATGCCTAAGGAGGAGAAACTACCTCAAATTTACTTTAAACCAGGTAGGCTCTGAAAACTCAATGCAACAGAGCAAGAAGACGTAGGAGTCTTTACAGAATGTTTCTTCAGATCATCTACCAATTGTGCTACTTCAGGCACAAAGACCAAAAAACAATAAACTTCATTAAGGACTGGAAATGGGACAGAAAACATTATTTTGCCCTCAACAAAAAAAAACGGCTTACTAAAACTAAAGTACTGCATAATCGCTTCTCGGCCTTTTGGCTAAGATCAAGTGTAAAGTACTGCATGTAGTTCTAAACAATGTAGGGTATACTGATTAAGAGAACTGAGTCGGGTTCAAATCCAACCTGCTACTCAGTTCTTTCATTTGTAAAGAGGGAGCAGGAACACCTATATCTGAGTTGCTTTACAGTTAACTGAAAAACATGTTAAAAGTTTTTAGCATAGTACCTGACACATGCAGGAGACATACAAGACTTGGGTTCGATCCCTGGGTTGGGAAGATCCCCTGGAGGAGGGCATGGCAACCCACTCCAGTATTTTTGCCTGGAGAATCCCCATGGACAGAGGAGCCTGACAGGCTACAGTCTAAAGGGTGCAAAGAGCTGGACACAACTGTAGCAACTGAACACAGTCGAAACTATGGTTTTTCTAGTACTTAAGCATGGATGTGAGAGTTGGACCATAAAGAAGGCTGAGAACCAAAGAATTGATACTTTTCAATTGTGGTGTTAGAGAAGACTCCTGAGAGTCCCTTGGACTGCAAGAGATCAAACCAGCCAATCCTAAAGGAAATCAACATTGAGTGTTTACTGGAAGGACTGATACTGAAGCTCTAATACTTTGGCCACGAGATGCAAACAGCCAACTCACTGGAAAAGACCCTGATGCTGGAGAAGACTGAAGGCAGAAGGAGAATGGGCAGCGGAGGATGAGATGGCCTGATAGCATCACTGACTCAGTGAACATGAATTTAAGCCAACTCAAGGAGACGGATGCTTCTGAGCTGTGGTGTTGAAGCAAACTCTTGAGAGTCCCTTGGACTGCAAGGAGATCAAACCAGTCAATCCTAAAGGAAATCAATCCTGAATATTCATCAGAAGGACTGATGCTGAAGCTGAAGCTCCAATATCTTGGCCACCTGATGCAAAGAGCTGACTCATCAGAAAATACCCTGATGTTGGGAACGACTAAAAGCAGAAGGGGATGACAAAGGATGAAAGGATTGGATGGAATCACTGACTCAATGGACAAAACTTTGAGCAGGCTCCAGAAAATGGTGAAGGACAGGGAAACCTGGCATGCTGCAGTCCATGGGGTCACAGAGAGTTGGACACGACTTAATGATTGAACAAAAAGTATAACATGGCTGTTTCCTGGTCCAAACATCAAGAGGTACTGAAGTAGGAGAATCAAGGTACAGCCCTACAAAAGGAGACTGAAAATTAGGGTTCTGCCATAAAAAGAACTGGTTTAAAAGAGACAGTACAGGGCTTCCCTGGTGGCTGACTGGTAAAGAATCCATGTGCCAATGCAGGAGACACAGGCTCGATCCTCCGTCTGGGAAGGCCCCACATGCAGGAGAGCACCTAAGCCTAAGCACCACAACTACTGAACCTGAGGTCTAGAGCCTGGGAGCCGCAGCCACTGAGCCCAACTGCAGCAACTGCTGAGGCCCACATGCCCTAGAGCCTGTGTTTCATGAGAGACGCCACCGTAATGAGAAGCCACTGCAATGAAGAGCAGCCCCACTCACCAGAACTAGAGAAAAGCCCAAGCAGCAATGAAGACCCAGCACAGGCAATAAACAAATAAATAAAATTATATATAAGAAGAGACAGTACATTCAACAGTAATACACAGATGTTCAAGTTTATTCATTCAACCATCACATTGAGCACCTGCTTGGCAGTGAAAAGGACAGATGAGGTCCTCATTTTCCCAGAGTTTAATTTCTAGGATAGGAGACAGAATAGAAAAACAAAGGAAATTCCAGATAGTGATGTTATAAAGAAAATGAGAGAATGGTGAGATCACTGTGGGAGCAATCTCCTTGAAGAGACAATAGCTGAACTGAGACCTGAATGACATGATGGAATCAGCTACAGGAAGATCTGGGAGAAGATTGAAACCACCAAGAGCAAGTGCAAATGCCCTGAGGCAAGAACCAACCTGGCAAGTCCCTAGGACAATGCTAGTGCGGCTGGAACACAGGAAGAAACTGCTGTGGCCGGACTCCTGGGTACTGACCGAGGCATCTGGATACAAGGTGAGACAGAGGAAGGCCGTGCCCAGACCTCTGCTGCTTGGCAAACCTTGAGAAAGAGGTTGGATTTCATTCTGAATGTGATGAGACTTTCAACAAAAGGGTGACTCGATCTGCCAATTTAAAGGATCCCTCAGGCTGTGGGAAAGCAGATGCACCAAGCCGAAGTGGAAGCGGGGAGACCAGAGGTTTCTGCAGTAGGACAGGTGAGAGGTGGTTAAGAGCTGCCAAAGCTGGGAGCAGTAGAGATGGGAAGAAGTGGACAAATCTAGAATACATATTGAACATGACCATTTAAGGCAAATGTATAAGTTTATGACTAAGGGACCCAAGTGAGTTATTAGTATATTTAGGATACTCTTTAGTAAGTACTTATCCTTTGAAGCTGAGGTGCAGGGAACTTTGCTTCTCTTTTGGCACCACTGATAATGCACTGGACTAAACAGGCACACATCCAAGACTCAGTGTTCATAAAGTATATTAAGTGTTTAAAGTAAAATCTTCTAGGACCTTACTGCCGGAGGCCTGGACAGCTGGTCAACATTTGGGACATACAGGAGCTATGGAACAGAACTAAACCCTTACCTAAATCAAATCACTTAAGTGAGCAAAAGCTTTTCAAACTTCCATAGTGTTAACTCAGGCTATTCTGTGCCTGTTTTCCCAAGAGTTAAACAAGCAAAGTCTTAGTTTGTCACACAATGCATACTGATTTCATAAATCTTATAATATCATCATGCGAGATTTGAGAGGAAATCTTTTAAAACCATGATTTTAATCATTATGGTTTGGCAAGCGAATATTACATAAAAGTTAAGGTCCAAGAGTATCTATAAAAATTTTAATCTGTTACTCAAAAATGAAGTGCTAATATGTGAAAAAGTAGGTTACAGAAGAACATGAGGTATGATACCATTTTTGTATAAAATATCTAAATGCAGAAAAGTCTGGAAGGATATAAACCACTGCTGAAATTCTGGTGGTCTCTGGATGGCAAGAATATTGATGACTTATTTCTTTTTTCACTTATCTGTTTTAGTCAACATTTTCTCCAATTATCACAAATTATTTCATATAAACAAAAACATTTACGTATAGGTTAGCTTAAAAAGTAAAAAAAGAGAAAGAACTTCGAGAAAACATAATTTCATTTGTTTCGATCAGCAGCATTCCAACTGTGATATTAAGGAAAAAAGATCTCGATTGCACACGCTGAAGGAAGAAATTTGCTAGGAAGAGGTCCATTTTACACCACACAAGGACATAATATACCCTTCAAGGGAGTAGCCTAAATTCCCAAGACTTCCTGGATTTGATAAATGACAATCAATTTAATACATAGCTCTTTCTTGCCGTTTGCTAAAGAAACACCTCAATTAATGAATTCTCTGGAGGAAAAAAAAAAAACTTTAGAAAAACTAAGGACAAAACAGAGGGTTGGTCTTCTGGTCTCATTCATGCGGTGGAAAGGCGCGGAGGGTAGCAGGGCTGGAAGCAGGCTACCCCAGAGGAATCTGCGTGGCGGGTCATCTAAAGTGGAAGGGAACACAGATCTTCTGCAGGCTCCACAGACTGGGCAGTGACAACGCCTCCTAAGGGTCTCAAGACTTCCCCTGGAAGGGCTTACGCCGTCCAAGTTATTCCACGCCGCCAACGGTTTCTGACAAAACAGAGGAACTGGAAGATCTCTTTAAACGCGGGTATTACGAGCAAGAAGCTCATCCGACTTTCTCTATGCAAAGCCAAGACATTCTCCTAAGGCCACATCCTCGATTCTGTAAACTAGGGCAACTGAAAACATCCTATTGACTCTCTCCAGCTAACGAACATCACTGTGGCTAAAATCCTAATACCCACACGAACAGACACTTCGGAAAACTGGCTCTAAATGGTTAACACCGGACTTCAGGTACTCCGGTAACCAGTTTATCGCACTTTATCTGTTCCAATAAAGGGTACCACCTATTTACTGTCAGCTCTGGTTCCACGTACTGAACAAACAGAAAAATGGAATCCTTTAAATTCACAAAACAATAAGGGCTAAAAGCTCCCGCTTTCTGGATGGCAGCTTTCTAGTCTCATCCATCACAACAAAGGACGCATCCCGGTGACTACATCAGACCCGGCAAGGGCTGAGAAACAGAGGTAAATGATTCAGTGAAGATTGCAAGGTTTGTGAGGGATTCCTTCCAGCTACGACTCACTCACTCTTCTTTTTACTCCATTATTCGCCTCCACCCGAGTTGACTGCTTGCCCTAAAAATAAAACCACCCGTGGCTACCGTCCACTTCCCTGCCAAGTCCCGACTCTGGTCTCCTGCAGAGAAAGCCAAATCTCAGGCTCTTCACCCCACTCTTCGCCGGAGGACGCGGGCTCGACAGCAGCGGGCTTCTCCCGGTGCAGAGTCGCCAGCCCGGTCGGGGACCCCCCTGAGCCCGAGAAGCAGCCCCGCTCTGCCGCAGCCGCCGCAGCCCGCCAGAGCCCCCAGGAAAAACCGGGGCGAGGGGAAGGTGGGCCGGCAAACGGCGGTGGGAGAAGTGGGAGACACTCACCCGCCCAGACAACAACCGACGGGGCGGGGAGGATGGGGGCCCGGACTAAGCCTCGGCAGAAAGCCCGCCTGCAGCTTCCGGAACGCTGCGGCTGCTCGGTAAGCCGCTGCCGCCGCCGCTCCTGGCCGCCGGCTTCCTCCCCTCCTCTGTTTTGATCCGACTGACCACGTCACTCTAAGCCACGAGACCCGGATCTGCCGGCTCCCGCGGGCGGCGGCGCAACAGATTGCAGCGGCTCGAGACCCGGCAGCCGGCCTGCCGCGCATGCGCGCGCCCCGCGCCTGCCCAGTGGGTCCGGGGAGGCGACCGCGAGCGTCACGCGGTGCGAGGGGCGCGGAGCACGCGGGTTGCAGTTCCGGTTGGGAGGGGTCGGGCGCGGCGTTGTGTGCGGGAGGGCGAGGCCCGGGTTTGTTGAAGTGGCCCGCGTAGGTTCTGTTTCGTGTGTCGTGGACGTCGTCTGCCGTGTCTCCCTCTGCCTGAGCTGATGGCTTTCCTCAGCTGGAGTCTTTAGAATAGCGGGGGTAGCGGTAGGTAGGGGCGCAAGCTGGTGTCTGGTGAGACTTGTAGAGATTGTTTTGGATCACTCAGGCCCAGGTGAAAATTGGAGATCGAGGTTTGGTCTTACACGTAAAAAAGTATGACTGACGTGGCAGTTATTGATCCCCTGTCCCGGAGGCAAACTGCCTTCGGAAAGCTGGCTAAAACTCCGTTCAAGAGGAGTGTTAAAGCGAGTGTAGGACTGATAGAGCGATAGTGGGGAACTGAAAGAGGAAAGCTATTGTTAGGCAGTCAGCTCAAACCTTTGTTGCTTTGACCTTCGGGACTGGAATAAGGATGATACGTACGGTCTGAGAACCTCATTTCTTTCTAAACCAAGGTGATGCTTCCTACTCTCTCATTCTTAGTCTCCCCACTAAACAACGGGCCCGAGAAGTTTCCCACTTTGGAAAGACATCGGGCTACTCTGTTGTTTTCTTAGGTCCATGAATGGACAGACCTTTTTTTTTTTTTTTGGACAGACTTTAATTAAAGCGATACTAGTGGTTAAATGAAAGTGTGAGTTTCAAAGGTTTCTCAGAGGTGCCTATTTGCCTATCGTGCAGGAGAGGTGAAAGTTAGCTGTAAGAAACTGCCTTCCTTATCCTGAATTAACCTTTTCGCCTAACCTGGACTTCTACCTCGGTGTCTGGTTTATCACCTCAACTAGCTGAGTCACTTTCAGCGAATTAGTATAATCTGCGAGAGGTTTTTTGTTTTTTGTTTTTTTTTTTAAGTAGTATACTTTATTTAACCTGGTATATCCAGAATATTATGGGGCTTCCCAGGTGGCTCAGTGGTTAAGAACCCGCGTGCCAATGTAGGAGACTTAAAGAGAGGCGGGTTGGATCCCTGAATCCACAAGGTCCCCTGGAGGAGGGCATGGCAACCCACTCCAGTATTCTTGCCTGGAGAATCCCACGGACAGAGGAGCCTGGGGGGCTACAGCCAATAGGGTCCCAAAGAGTCCCACACAACTGAAGCAACTTAGCAAGCATGCATGCAAAGTATAGGTAAAACATGGAATCAATGTAAAAATTATTAATGAGATATTCATGCTTACCTCGTACTAAGTCTTCAAAATTGGGTGTGAATTTACACTTAGAGCAAGACTCAAGTGTTGGGTGTGGCTAATGTCACCATACGGGACAGCACAGCTCTAGAGCACGTGCACTAAACAGGCCTGGGGGAGTGACCTGGCCCTAAGCGGAGGCAAGACCCAAGGGTAGTCGTTTGGGGATGACAGGCTGCTTATTTTACCCAATCTCCTTGTGCCTTGACTTCTTTTAGAGTAACCTATGTAGGAATAATTGCTGTGACTTTAAAACATTCGTAAAATGCCATGTGGACTTAGAAAATCCTGGTCTAGCCAAAGGTAGGTAAATCGTTAAGGGCAAGAGCTTTTTAATTAAAGTGGGAACACAGAAAAAAATGTCTAGAAAATGAAAGGTTTCTGGTAAACTCACTAAGTATTTCCTAATTAATTAACATCACAGGTAGGTAGAGTCAAGCTTCTTGAACTCTGCATCTTGAACTCTGTTTACTCAAATTCACAGAATTTTAAGTGGTATCTAGTGACCTAATGAAGTTCAGAGGCTGACTCTGTAACACAGGGTCTTTAATCTGTGGAACACAAAGTTTCATATGCTTGAGTGCACCCATGTGCACATATGTGTTTGAAAGTACAGCTGTGTTTGAGAGCACTGTGCTACAAAATTGGAATGGTACAGAACATTGCAAAATTATCAGTATTTGTTTTATAAAGTAAATTACAGGAAAATCAAGATGTTAGGATCTTTCATAGCTAGCTTTCAAGATAATCCCCAGTGGTTAGTGATTCTCAACTCTGGAAAAAAGACTCCTTCAGCCTTTTGAAAAAGGGCTACTCTGACCTGTAAAATACAGCTGAAGGTGTGTGACTTTTAAGGCTAGGTCATAAAGGCATTGATTACAGCTTTCCAACTCAGTGTCTTGGATTGCCTGCTCTGGAGGAAGCAAGGTTCCATGCTGCTCCACTCTAGCAGACCTATATATGAAGACACCCGGGTGGGGAGGAGCAAAAGCCTCCACCAACAGCCTCATCAGTTTACCAGCTGTGTGAGGGACCTGCCTTGACTGGGCTCATCCTGCATCCCCAGTCTAGCATCAGATGACTGCATCCTTGCGTAACGTCTGCAATCTCATGAGAGAGAGAAAGGACCAGCCCTGACACAAACAGTGAGACAGGATCATACATGGGTTTTGCCCTAAGTTCAACCTTTGAAAATTTTAAACAGTGGAAGAAAAGTGAAAAAGTATGCGTGTAATTCTCCATATAAAGGAATTTAAAAAGCAACATAGAATTCCCACTACAGTACCTAGAACATAATGAATACATATTTGTTGAATGGACATATATAATTAAAAGACAAAATAGTCTGGGAAATATTTGGAATAAATGTTGATAAATAAAAGAGTAATGTACTATATGAAGGACTCATACAAATCACTAAGAAAGATATTAATGCCTCTAATATGTGTATAGGTAAAGAGTATGAGTTACACACAAAAAGACACAAATGACTTAATAGTTATTTGAAAATCTTCAATCTCAGTAGTAATAAAAAATGCAAGTTAAGATTTCCTTTTTTAACTACAAACATTTTGGGAGTTTTTTGGGGGGGTGGTTTTGCTTTTCTTTCAGCAGAGAGGGAGATATTTTAAATAATTTTAAATAGGTCTATCTAATATTGGTACTGTTATCACTGCTGATAGTAAGTTGGCAGGTACATTTTGGAAATCAGTTGGCAATATATATCAAGTTCTGTAGGAGTATCATATCCATTGACCAATTTTAACTACTGGGAAATTAATGAAATAGTTTTAAAAAGAGTAAGATTATAAAGACATGAATTACATTGGTATTAATATGATGGGCAAAAAATAGGGAAATAACCTATGTGAACAATGGTAATGGAAAGGATAATGTTACATTGTATGTTCAGTTCAGTTCTGTCGGTCAGTCGTGTCCGACTCTGCGACCCCATGAATCGCAGCAAGCCAGGCCTCCCTGTCCATCACCAACTCCCGGAGTTTACTGAAACCTATGTCCATCGAGTCGTTGATTCCATCCAGCTATCTCATCCTCTGTTGTCCCCTTCTCCTCCTGCCCCCAATCCCTCCCAGCATCAGGGTCTTTTCCAATGAGTCAACTCTTGGCATGAGGTGGCCGAAGTATTGGAGTTTCAGCTTCAGCATCAGTCCTTCCAATGAACACCCAGGACTGATCTCCTTTAGGATGGACTGGTTGGATCTCCTTGCAGTCCAAGGGACTCTCAAGAGTCTTCTCCAACACCACAGTTCAAAAGCATCAATTGCGCATTGTATATTAGGATCTGAAAAATGTGAGGATGGAAATAATTTTAAATGACTGTAAGGAAGTTATTAACATTTTATGATAGAAAAAATCTAGGAATAATCTAAACATATAATGGTAATGGAATGTATGAATATGTTAAATTATGTTTTAGGCATTAACAAACTTGAAGATATTTTCATTTTCTGATCCAGACCTACTTTGATTTTTGCATTAGAAGTAGAAAGTGTTTGTAATTCAAATATATATGCCCCGTGTACTCATGAAGTATTCTGATAGATATAACTATTCACATCGGTTATTCTGGGGTGGGGGGTATGAGAGCCTCCTTTATGATTTTTTACCCTTTGTATGGTTTGAATTTTTCTGTATCAATGCATTATTTTTGCAATTCAAAGCATCATTAGTGACTTTTTTCTTAAAAAGCTGTGGTTATGTTAGTCTGCTCAAGCTCTCATAACAGAATAGGACAGACTGGATGTCTTAAACAACAGAAATTTATTTTCTTGAAGTTCTGGAGGTAGGAAATCTCGAAGATCAAGATCTGGCTTGCAGATGACCACCATCTTGCTTTGCCCTCACATAGCCTTTACTCTGTGCAGAGGCAGTTCTGGTGTGTCTTTCTCTTTTTATAAGGATGTTATTCCTATTGAATTAGGGCTTGTCCTTATGATCTCATTTAACCTCACTTACCCTTGTAAAGATACTGTCTCCACATAGTCACAATGGGGGTTAGAGCTTCAACATATGAAGTTGACTGGACACAAATCAGCTGTTAACTGGTTAAATATATACATAACTTAAACTTTACCATTTTAACCATTTTTAAGGGTACAGTTCTGTGGTATTAAATACATCCATCTTGTTGTACAACTGTTACCAACATTTATCTCATGAATATTTTCTCCTTTACCTATTAAAACTCTGTGCCTGTTATACTCTTAACTCCCCATTGCCCCTTCGTCCCATTCCATGGAAACCACCATTCTACTTAAAATCTCTGTAAATTTGACTACTTTTAGTACTTCAAGTAAGTGGACTTGTTTAATATTTATCCTTTTATGACTAACGTATTTCACTTAGCATAGTGTAAGGTCATCCGTGTTGTGTGTGTATATACACACACACCATATTTGTTTATTCTTTCATCTATTGATGAAAACTTGGCTGGCTTCTATATTTTGGCTACTGTGTATAACCATGTTGTGAACATGGGTGTACAAATAAAGTTCGAGTCCCTCCTTTCAATTCTTTTGGGTATATACCCGGAAGGAAAATTACTGGATCATATGGTTATTCTGTTTAATTTTTTGAGGAACTGTTTCACAGTGG